TAACTTGTTCAGGGGGCTTGGTGCAAGATTTGTTTATTCAGAGTTACATTAAGCTGTCTCAAATATTTCCAGTAGGATGATTCTTTGACTTGTCTGAGCCACATGTTCCAGTACTTAGTTTTTTTCATCATGAAGAATTTTTTTCTTAAATTCTCAGAGAATTTCCCATTAGCAGCACTGTGTATTGCCTCTTATGCTGTCCCCACACATCCTAATGAAGAGAGTACCTTCAGCTTTTCTCTAACATTCTCTTTAGGTAATGGAAGAAGGTGATTAGATTCTCCGTAAGCCTTCCATTCTAGGAAAAACACCATTTAATATAAATCTTTCTTTAAGAAAGATTTATATAAGTTAAGATATCTAATCTTCTGATCACTTTGGCAGGCCCTGTCTAATTTTACAATTTCTTTGAACTCAGAGAACAAGAACTGAGCAGAGCAGTCTTTGTGTGGCTTGAAAAATGCCAAGTATTGTGGTTTAATTACTTCCCTTGTTCTGGGTTTGGCTATAGTCTGCTGATATTATCTGCAGTCTGCTTTCCTGCTGCAGAGATGGTCTGCTTAGTTATGTTCTGCTGGCTGTCTTGGCACCATAAATCCTTTTCAGCCAAGATTCACTCCTACCAGCCAATTCCCAGCCAGTATGGATGCTTGGGATTACTTTTTCCCAGCATAGACTTTGAATTTATCTTTCTTAAATCTCATACATTTCTTGTTATACTAATTTCCAAACCTTTTGTGACCTATCTGCATGGTAGCTCTTTCTTTCAGTATTTTTACCTCTCCTCTCTGTTTCATGTCATCCACAAACTTGATGAGGATGCTTTCAGTACCATTTTCCCAACTGCTTATAAAGATACTGAGTAGCATCAGGTCTAGGACTGATCTTTGAGGTAGTCAAATCTTGACAAAATGCTAATCTGGCTTGAGATGTTAGCCATGACTTTTTTTGCCATTTCTCTACCTGTAGCTGCTCCATCTGTCCAGTGCTTATCCTTCCAGGCTGTCATCAGAGATGTTTTGAGAGACCATGTTCGACACCTTGATAAGGCTCATACGTATTGGTTTTTTTGGAATCTCTCTTCATATGCCATTCTTTTTGTCAGTGCAAATGTGTAAGTGATGAGCTTGGTGAAGTCATTCAGAACTGATATTTCATAGTTTGCCCATTAAATAAGGTCAGCATGAATGGGCATAGTTCCTTTAGCTTTAAAAAAATCCATGAATCAACTTTAAGAAAAGTGACTTGTGTCCACTAAGCATACAGTAAGCATACAATGCTCAAGAAAACAAAAGTCACAAAGCTGTTATGCTCAGACTCTTAAATAGAAAATATTGCAGTAGCATTGGAAATCTGTGGGGATTTTTCCCTCATATAATGATTGTGATGATTTAATTCTCATGTGGTGGAGAATGCTTTCATAAAATATATCAGTACTGGGTTGCTGACTTTTTTTTTTCTCAAAATTTAATCTTAATTACCTTCAATCTTTCCTTAGTTACTACAGACTCTTTTGAGTTGAAATATTGCATGTGTGAAAGCAAAGTTGAAGCATTTTCTGTGGCACCTAAATGCTTTTAGAAGCCAGGAAAGAAGTTGTAAGCTATCATTAAAATAAAAATCTCCATTAATGGATCTGTAATTTTTCCTTCATAGAGAAATGTCAGAATTAGCCTGGCACATTTTTACTATGCATTTATTCACTCTTGACTTGTATTATGAAGTCTGCTTCCATGTACTTTGATCCTTGTTTATTCTGTCATATTTTCAACATTCTGATATTTTTCTAACCTTGTGGTCCAGAGTCCTGCTGCTCAGATATTTCTTTCCAAGCCAGTGCTCCAGGATGGAGCAGTAAGTAACACATTACTGACAATGACTCATTCTGTTTCCAGACTCATATTTATACATAGCATTAGACTATGACTAACTTAGAGCCTTTGCCATGGTTCCATTTGTGGTCCCTGACAAGCACAGTTATCTTCCAATGATGTTTAATTCATGAATGCTGAGTATGACACTGACAGTATCCTCTGAATGTCATTGTGAGAGCTAACTTTTATGCATCAGTTCGATGCTGAAATGAGTTTCGAGATTTGCTTAATCTTTTCATTTCCAGCTTTCCTATTAGATAGTTCTCCTTTTTCTTCCAGTGAAATTCAAGGCATAGGCAGATTCTTATGTCTTCAGTATTCCTGAGGGAGCACAAGCATGGTAAATCATGTCATCACAAGTTATCTTATGCAAATATCATTTCTGGTTGATTTCAAGTTAGGTTGGATTTCCCGACAGGGATTTCCAGTTAGATGAAACAATATGGTGAACTAACCCAGATAAAGTAATACACTTCATTGATGGAATATATTGGTTGATTAACCAGATTGATTTGCACACAGTGAAAGAAGGTGGAAAGATAATATAAATTGTAGCATCTGCTTCTAACAGTATGAATGATACAGTCATAACCACAGGAAACATGTTGGAGTGTCATTATCTTTAATTCAATGTCAAATGGGCCCCTGATGCTTTTCACTGTTCTCACTTCTTGATTTTCATCAATGAGTCTACTGAGTATTTTGGCAAACACAGGATAACTATTTGTGGTTATATTTTCCTAAATCAAACGAAGAAGGTTTTTTAATTTAAGATTGGAAAAAAAGAAGTGCATTAAAAAAACCCCCAAACATAAAGTTCAAAATTAGAATGGCCTTATTCCCTGGCATAATTTCAGCTTCTAGAGGTGGAAGAAAGTAGTGCAAAAGCATTCACTTTTTGTGCACTTTCTATCACCCTTGACAACTTTACAGTGGTGAATCATGTGCACTGGTAGAGTAGGTTTTGTGTTCTCTTTATTAATCATGTGTAGACTGTTTTAATGTTTTCATTCATTTTAATCATTCCAGTAAATGAGCTCTCCTGTGCAGGAGCTTTCTCTGATTTTGTTGACAACTTTTTTTCTTTTCTTTTCAATAGTAGCAGTGGCTTCATCCTAGCTGATTAAATCAGTCATCATAATATAAACACTCTGTCCTTTAAAGGATATTGTATTTTTTTGTCATGTTCTAATGGTTGAGTAGAAAACAACCATTCCCCTTGCTAATATTTTTTCATCCTGGAGCTTATTTTTTTCTTAACAAAAATAGAAAAAAAAACATATGCATTACAGTTCTTTTTTTTTTTTTTGTTGTATCTCATTTGGCTTTTCCTTCCTGCCCCCCAAAATGTGTCAGCAATGTGCATCTAACCAATTGCTAAAATTGTTTTCTCTGCCAATGCTTTGTATTGCTCAGATTATTTATAGTAGTTAAAAAATTTACTGGGGTTAAGACTGTATGATAAGATAATTAAATAAGGGTTCTTGGTAAAATTTTACAAATATTGAAAAACATTTATTTCCACCCTATCTGCGTTATACATTAGCTTTGATTCCTACAGAGGTGATATGCATTTCTTGAAGTGTATTATGCTACAATGCAATATTAAATGCTTGCAAGAGTTGTTTGATTAAAAAAAAAACCAAAACCAACATTATGAGAGAGAGACCCTGTCTGTTTGGTTGTCTCTATTCTATGTGTTCACAGAATATTCTGAAGAGACATTCTTTCCTTTTTCATTGTTACTAAAATCTTTTGCAATCAGGCCAAGATTATGTTCAGTACAATAACAGTGCAAAAGTCAGAGCCCTAAAAGTCCTCAGTTTTGTTAGCATTGACACTAGACTTAGTTCAAATGCTTGATTTAAGTCCCCAGGCATAGTGAAAGAACTCTTGGATTGTATTTCAGAAGGGGGACAAAGTAATCTCTTTTTCTATATAAATGTTCTTTTCATTCCATATACACTGCTAATTCTCTTTTGGGTCAGAATTGCTGGATGTCAATCATCTGAACTTCAGAAATGGTTGTAGTGTCAATTTCTTCCAGACCTAATGGCAGAAATATGTTTAAGGGTGACATCAAAAGAGGAAAGACATCTTAAAAAGTTTGATAGTACTAGTGTTTATATGGTATTTCTGATTTTTTTTTTTTACAAGGCAAAATTTAATATTACAGAACGTTTTCTGATACATCTTGAGTTTGCAGTGTTATTAAACAGATGGGAAAAATGCGGTATATAATGTTCAGTATTTCTAGTAACTTCAGTTTTTCCAGTCATTATAATCTCTTAAGCACTGTGTTTTACAGAAATGAGAGAAGGTAATTACCTTCTTTTTAAACCAGCTCAGGTGAAAAAAGGAAGCAACTCCTCTGTAGTTTCACAGCATCAATTTCTTCCAAACTACTGACTCCTTTGTCCCAAATTACTGACTCCTTCCTACCACAACAGTTCTTTGTATTCTGAAAATATTATATCAGAAAACACATATTAATTTTTAGGACTTCCAGTAGTCCATTTCTGTAAGGCAAGCTAGCCTTACTATGACCTGACAGTGATATTATCTTTCACCTAAAGTCTTTCTCCAAGTATTTTTCTCATGTATGTTAGATAAAATGTTATCTGCCTCTCATTCATAAGTGTTTTCTCCATATACTGCCATCAGTGAGCACTTTGAGTACTTCAGATTGCCATGCTATGCATTAGGTTTTCAGAACTGTTCAGCTCAGTGATTGAAATAAGAGCGAAATTTCACTTGTGCCAGAATCCCAGATTCTCCTACAAAACTTAACAACATAGTTTATTATCATTGCTAGAGTGAAATACTTAACAGTTTTCCACTGACCTGAAGTACTTGTATGCCTTCTTCCAACATAAAAACATATAAGCAATAAAAACCAGATCAACAATAGATATTTCCCATTGGACAATCTGTCCAGTTGTTTATTTTTAAATGAAGATGAGAAGTAAAAGTGAGATGAAAGACACAGATATCCTTAGAAAATTGCCTTGGTAAAACCTGATGTGATAAAGTCCGAGAGGAGAGCAATGTGCAGATTGAGAGCTTGCTTTCACTCGTATAAGCATGTTATTCTTACTCATATTGCATTTAATATTTGTCTTTCAGAAATCCAAAATCTCCACTTATGACAAGATGTGGGCCTTCATGAGCAGCAGGAGGCAGTCAGTACTTGTCAAAAGTAATGAAGAAGGTATCCAACGCGTGCTTACCTCTGATTATGCATTTCTAATGGAGTCGACAACCATTGAGTTTGTCACACAGAGGAACTGTAACCTAACACAGATTGGAGGCCTGATAGACTCCAAAGGTTACGGCGTTGGAACTCCCATGGGTAGGTGATACGTCAACCACTTGTTCTCTGTTCATTAATCTTAGTTGCTGCTGCAGCATAGGAAACATTCCATACACTGTTTCTTTCTCTACATTGCTAGCCCTTCCTTTATTTTAATTTGTCAACCAGGTACAATACATATTCTGTCAAAGTTTATGGATTTTATTGTATTTTCCAAAAAGAAAACAGTTTTTACTTTATAAATAGTTGTATATTTTCATATGATAAATTTGTCTTAAGTGGTGCATTCTATATGTTCAACAACAACAGTACTGTTCACAGTACTTTATTTTATTGGAAAAGGTTTTAAATATGTTTAAAATCTCTGTGTTTAAAAACAAAGTCCTAGTAGCAGAAGGCTTGTACTAGAAAGTGAGGCTGATTCTTTTAAAGTGAGAGGGCTAATTGCTGAGATTGCTAAAAGAGGAGGAAAAGATTCCAAACCATGCCACGGACAAAACAAATATTGATTTACCCTTGTGTAATATAGGTTTTCGTATTGGCTTAGAAATTCCAATCGTTCAAGTATTTTCCAGGTCAGCTGCTTTTTACTAAGTACAAAACTTTAGTTGCAAGACTAAAAGCCAACTACAGGTATTAGCTTGGTTGTAGCTTGGCTCCTAGAATCCACAGAAGGGGATTCAGCAAGAAGTGAGTACCCACTGAGTGCAGTGATTTTTTCCAAGGAAATGAGGTGAAGATCCAGCATTAGATTTCAGGATAGATGGGAATGAAAATGGTGTCACACAAAGACTGTGAGTACCACACAATAATTCTATTTAATATTGTAAGGTGGTTCTGCTGACTTATTTCTCAGGGACATATTTATTTAAACTTAATTTTGAACATTGATGTGGATATATTTTTATTTTTTCTCAGGTAGGTCTTAAGTTTAATGCTGTTTTTATCTGTGTTGATAAGATATGTTAAATCATTGCACTGGGAAAGTTGTGTCCAGTGCTATAATTCAAGCACATGAAAAGGAATTTTAAGAAATAAAGTTTAGTGGAATATCTTGGATAAAGAGGTACTTAGTATTATCAAATACAGATTCACCTATGTATTGGATCTATTTACTGCTACTTCAATAACATCTCTGAAATTTTCATTATTTCAGTAATTTTTTATGCAATGCACACCTGCTGAAGAAATTATGATTCTGTTCACTCTGTCTTTGAACAGTTAGTTGTTAGGAATCTAGTAGTGATTCATACCAATTTTTCCACTCTGTTCTATTGTGGCTCTTGCATTGCTGAATATATTCTATAGATGTGCGAGTGACAGAATAGGCTGCTGGTCTCTTTGGCATCTTATGTTTCTTATTTATAAACCTTTTTGTTATTTTGATGATAAAACCCACCTTCCATTTAGGTTTAGTATGGAAAAAGTCAAATCTTAGGAATATTTTATAATCTTTAAATAATCTGCGTGCAAACTTGTGAAACATCTGAGGTATGCCCCAGAAATTTAAGTGAACATTGAAATGCCAAACTGATAGGAATCAGAGAGACCAAAACAGTCTAGAAATTGTTCTGTTTATGTGTAAGTCAGAGAAGCATCATAAACACCAGAGAAAACAGCTTTAAAACAATGATAAATCCAGGAAGAGAATTCTGGAGTTTAAGTTTAGGGGAAGAAATGTTGAATGTAAAGAGCCAAGGCAGTTAAGTAAACTTTGTGTTGGTCTTTGTTCCCTTCTTTATATGGGGACAGAAGGCACTATTCCTTCACTAATTTTGAGTCATATCAGAGACATAATTTAGCTCTTATTCATCTGCAAGACTCCAAGTAACAACAAATTATCTGCGTCAAGAGAAATACTAGTGTTGTACAAGGGGATATGTGAGCTAACCGTTGTCTTGAATGAAGATGAAACAAATAGAGGACATACCTGCAGGAATCAGCAGTAACCAAAGGAGGTAAAATAAGAGTTAAAAGAAGTTTTAAACTTAACAAAAACAGTTGAAGAAAGATCTGAAAAAAAAGATGACAGCTTCATAAGGGGAAATAGAACAGAATGTAAAACAGGATGTAATGTAAAATTTTTCGCAAAAAAAATGAAGGTAGAACAAAACAGCATCTGGGGCTTTCCCAGAACAGCTAGGAATAAGAGATTAATCCAATATTTCGGCAGTATCTATGAAATGCTGTTGAGAGAGCTGACATTTATAATGGGTTTATATCCTCTGTATTAGGTGCACAGTCTCAGAGGAAAGGGATTGTGCAAACTCTGCTAGAATGATGCATAGTTTTCACATACATTTGAAAGGAATCCTTATGAAGAAGCACTTCCATTATGTCTGTCAGAATAGTTTTTTAAATATTTTGCTTTATTGGAGCTAAAAAGTATTACAGAGCAGTGGATAATGCAAAATATTCTCAGGCATTATAGCTAATCTCATTTCTACAGGAAAAAATAATTCTGGAGACTTTAAAAGAACTAAAGACATGGTTCTATCTATAGAAGTAGATTACATCATTATTTAATGACTATGAAGAAGTTTATAGACATGTAACTGCGTAATATCTTTTTAGAGTTAATAATCCTACAAGTAACTTGTCAAGTGCTTGGAAAACTGCAGTGTGATGGCTTCACATACAAAATATATGCTACTGCTTTTGCCTATTTGAGAGGCCACTTGTCTCCAAGAACAGTACAGAACGACTTGTGTTTATAGAATCATAGAATCGCAGAATATGCTGTGTTGGAAGGGACCTGTCAGGATCATTGAGTCCAACTCATGACGCTGAACAGGGCACTCTAAAAATCACACCATGTACCTGACAGCATTGTCCCAGCACTTGAACTCAGACAGGCTAGATGCTATGGCCACTTCCTTGGGAAACCTGTTCCAGGGCCCAACCACCCTCTGGGTAAAGAACCATTTCCTAATATCAAACCTAAATATCCCCTGACTCAGCTTCGTGCTGTTTCTAGTCTTGTCACTGCTCACCACAGTGAAGTGATCTGTACCTGCTCTGTCTCTTCTCCTCATGAGGAATCTGTAACTGCAATGGGGTCTCCCCTTTGTCTCCTCCGGGCTGAACAGACCAAGTGACCTCAGCTGCTCCTCATAAAGCTTCTCCTCCAGACTCTTCACCACCTTTGTGGCCCTCATTTTGATGCTCTCTAGTAGTTTAATGTCTTATATTGTGGTGCCCAAAGCTGCCCTCAGCACTCGAGGTGAGGCTGCCCCAGTGTGGAGCAGAGCAGGACAATCCCCTCCCTTGCCCAGCTGTGATGCTGAGCCTGATGCACCCAGGACACCACTGGCCCTCCTAGCTGCCAGGGCACTGCTGGCTCGTGTTTGACTCATCATTGACCAGGACTCCCAGGTCCCTTTCCACAGCCCTGCTGTCCAGCCTCTCTTTCCCTAGTCTCTACACACAACCAGGGTGGTCCTGTCCCAGGTGCAGAATCCGGCACTTGCCCTCTTTAAACTTCATATGGTGTTACAGGCATGGTGTTGGGAAGATATAGATGTCATCTGCAAAATTTACAAAAAATCCAGTTCATCATCAGGAACAGTGGCTTGAAATTGCAGAAGTCTTTGCACATAAGGTTAAACTTGCAAGAAGCAGTTGTTACAGATCTTATGTTGGCTGCAGTAGAAAGGATATGGTTACTTTTGGAGAGCAGCACCAAAGGAAGTAGGTGCAACATATCTTGATCATTTTGAAGACAATATGATAACAATTAGTGAGAAAATAAGTTGCTTGAGTTTAAGCAGCTACAAGAAAAAAATCTAAAAGCTTTCCTAGCAGAAAAATATTCTATCAGTTTATGACAATCACTTGGAAAATGCAACCAAGCAAATGTAGCACCAGTTTAGAGTACTGCAATAAAGGTTCTCTGCTCATGGTGTTAATATTTTAAATTTAGAGGAAGAAAGCTACACAAGATTAGGAAGAAAAGAAAAAAAAGTCCAAAAACCAGTGAGTGGATCAGGAAGTACATGGGTATCAATTCTTACCCCAAAAAATTGGAGAAGCAAATTATGAGTTTACATGATTATTTTATTTCCTCTAAAAGCATGAATGAAGTAAAGAAAGTTTAGATTGCTAAAATGCAACTTTGAGGAAGCAAATTGGAAACAATGTACTTTTTTCTCAAAATAGGATTGTCAGAATCAGAACACATCTTTAAAATCAACAAGATACAGTGATACTTGAGATGCAAAGCAGAATTCTTTATGGTATATTTGCAGCAGTGAAATATAAACTAGGGAGAGTCAATTTGGCAAATTATGCATACAATGACTGGTTCTCATGATATAAGTTTTTAAATTAAAGTTTTGTATGCACCAGAATGCATTTTCAGTCAGTCTCTTCTGATGCTAAGCTAAAAAAACCTTGATTTATAAGGAAAAGAGAACAGACCTGGGATGAAATGTCTTATAGCAACTGATATTTTGGAGCAGATAAGGGGGAACCTTGTAAAGCAGTTTTGTATGCACCAGAATGCATTTTCAGTCAGTCTCTTCTGATGCTAGGCTAAAAAACACTTGATTTATAAGGAAAAGAGAACAACAGACCTGGGATGAAATGTCTTATGGCAACTGAAATTTTGGAGCAGAAAAAGGAGAACCTTGTAAAGGGTGGTGTTTGCTTTGTTGTCTATCTTTATTGTTTATAGCTTTGTAACAAAGAGTATAATTGTTGCTCTGCTAAAGAACATTTTTAAATTTTTTTTTTAATCTTCCAGTTTGAAGATCCACATGCAATGGGTTTTTATTTGCTTCATTCTGGCATGTTTTATCAGGAGGCAGATATTTTGCCAGGTGTGTGTTCTTCATTGGTGAATCTGAGAGAGAGGAAAATTATTTGCATATTTTTGTCAACATGGTGTATAGTTGCTTTCTAATTTCTATCATATTATAGTAATATGTATTGATATTACCCACAGTTATCTATTAGAAATGCACATGAGTGTCTTTTAGTGGTTGGAATTTGTCTTTGTGGGGGCATTCACCTCATCATCCAATATTGATGTTCAAGGG